TCAGCGTCTGCTGCGGCCTGTTGGAGCACGCGGCTGCCCATCGTCGAAATCGACGGGGGAACTGTTGTATATGTGCGTGTGCGTGTGCAAGAATTATTGTTTACACAGAAAGGTCTACCTGCGGCTGTTGCAGACCCAAAGAGCGAAAATTTTAAGGTAGAACTCACAACTTCGTCATCAGACTCTGTATCCCATTGGGGGATTGTACTAAGATGCTGAACCTTGGAAGACGTCAACTCCTCCCCTGCGCTCTGGGGTTTCCTCTGCGCAAACCAAAGGCTGGCAAACACGGTTAGGAAGCTGCTGATGAGCTGTGAGGAAGGAGTAGGATTGAAAAGAAAAAAGGATTTAATGTGGGGATAAGTGGAGAAGGTAAATTGCAATGGGACATATGCTTTACTCGTCTGATGCTTTGGTTCACGCTAGAAGCCTTTATTACATCAGTTGAAACAGGCATAGGCAGCTGGATTATTGCATCCGATAAATTTAGCGACGGCTTTTAAACTGCAACCCACTGTTGCAAGATTTAGATAACGAATGGAAGCATACAGCAGTTTGAATTTCCACAGAATAGCAATGCATAACAGCAAGTCATAGTTCACTGCAAATAATTAACAGATAAATTATACTGCCCTAACCAATCATATAGAAAAAAAGTTAACGCAAATCACACTCATGTTTAAATCTAGCCATCCGATCACCAGACTAACTAGAGATTGACCACATGGTCTAGCTGCTTGCATAGACTGGGTTTCTCCCACCTTATGTAGGCTGCTTCCAAGTAACGCAGGGTCCGACTTGCTAGTTCCCGAATAAGTACTCGGAGAGCTGATTTTAGGTCGACAAAGTGACCACTGTACCCTAGATGTTTAGTAATCGAGGAACGTGATACCCTACTTTCTTGCTTGAATAGCCAACTAAGGAACTGTTCAGCGGTTCTGACGACCACTTACTTTTGCGTACGCCAAATGAACTTGTAAGTACACAACTTTAAAAACACAACTTGCAATGGCAATGCATCTTTTACCGGATTTATTGGACGGATTTTAGTAGGATTGAGGAAAACTAGTTCAGCTGCAGCGCAACTGTCACTATATTATTCAAAATATTATCGCCCTTAAAGGATAAGGATACAAAAACTGGCTTTTTCGAAACTGACTTTTCCGACAATTTTGGCCGTAAAAAGTTGCCGTACTTTTGAATGAAGCGTGCAGGATAGCCACGGTTAAAAGGGCTGCTTTTATGCATTAGGCTGCCCACACCTACGAAACAGATCTGGAATTTAACTTTACAGCCACTACAGTAATCGTCAACGCCAGAAACAAGACAATTTGGGGAATGGATTGGAGCCTGCCCTCCCCCCCCACCAAGAACTCAGTCAATTGTTTTATAGATCTCACAAAGGCGTGCACAGAGCATTGCACAGTCACCCACAGAGCGGCGTCACGTGGTCTTAGTCCCTTACAACTGACCGTTGTTTTTGTTGCCGCTTTTATCGCTGACGATGGACTCCAGTACGAGTTGGAAAACCGAAAGACTTAGGATGACCGATGGTCAGGCATCCAATGGCTTCATTGATTATGTCCGAGTGGTTGAGCACTGTAACTCCACCATCCGACACAGCGATGTCTTGATAGCCCTCGTTTTTATTAATGTTCCTGGCGGGAAAACCGTATTATTCTGGCAGTTCTAACATTGCGCGGGGCGATAATTTGCGACTTCCATGGAATAACCTCAAGTAGAGCAGGTAGGCTGCAGCCAACTGCAGCCTGGCTAGAATTCATTTCTCAACAAATAAGTAGAAGGTAAATTTTGAAAGAAGACGCAAAATGACGGCCTTGTCCTCGGCAGACTTACCAGCCAGATCAACCAGTACATGATATTCCATATTATAGTATGCTCAAACACTTCCCTTCCAAGTTTTAAGCACACGAGACCTTCCACGAGAAGAGTAGACCTGAAAATGGGTTTGAAATAGTAGAATATG